CATGTATTACTGTCTCCAGGTTATTTTTGGACAATATGGGCTTCAGTTTAGACAGCCGCCTCAGTTGGATGAAACATGATTTAACAATCATGTTTACATGATTGTTAAGCTCAACCTGTCAGTGTATGAGGGGGCGTGACTAAGTGTGATCTCAATGGATCTTACATGGACTGACGTGTATGAAAATATAAGACGGTGCTTCAAAAGCCTTTCTACATGATGTAGCAAGCAGAAATAAACTATATTCCTTGACAGATATTGAATCCCAGGGAGACTCTTTAGAGTTGCTGGCCCAGTTTAACCCAGTCAGAATCGGGTCATAATTTCATTATAATCCCATCTCTGAGCAGATCAAAAACCCCACGTCCAGTCTAGATAAATATCTAACAACTGAACTGGCATTTTCAGTGATTTTTACACAATCACAGCTGAGGATTGAGGTTTTTTTTTGTGTGTTTAGCTGATCAGTGATGTCCCGCACTAATCTTTGAGATGTCTAAAAACATCACAGCCTACACACTCTTGTTACAACTGTATATGCTACATACAAATCACTCCTGTATCCTGGGACACCTTGCAAAAAGATCTGAAGCTCTCGACACTGACCTCTCTGAATGGCTTCAAACACCTGCTAAGTAGATGGCAACAACCAATGCAGACATGTTCTTGTTTTTAGTATTTTATATAGCGCTATAATGTGGCTGTGTTTTTTATTAACATAATTCTCTTCAATTTATTATTTTCAATTTATATGCCTTATTTCAAGAATGTCTACTGTTGTCATTCTTGTCTACTGTTGTCATCATTCTTTGTTAAAAACAAGTCTCTCTTGTAAATGAGTCTTCAAGGTTCAGTGAGACTAACCTCTATAAATAAAGGTTGAATTGAATTAAATTGAATCTTCAACACTCCACTGGAGCTCTGTGTTGTACCTTCCTGCTTGAAACACTCCATTATCGTACCTATCCCCAAAAAGTCAGCGATCACAGGACTGAATGACTACAGACTTGTGGCTTTAACCTCTGTAGTCATAAAATGCTTTGAAAGACTGATCATCACTCTCTTGAAGAGATCATCACAATCATCATCACATCCCTGTTAGACCCACCACAGTTCACATACCATGCCAACAGATCAGCAGAAGATGAAGTAAACATAGGACTCCATGTTACCCTCCAACACCTCGAACATCCAAGAACATATGCAAGGATCTTGTTCTTGGACTTTGTTGCACCTTTAATACCAACATCCCAGGATGACTACACAGCAAACTGACCCAGCTTAGTGTACCAGTCCCCACCTGCCAGTGGATCACAAACTTCCTCACTGGTAGGGAGAAGCAGGTGAGGTTGGGGAAGTTCACTTCAGAAATTCAGACAACCAGCACAGGTGCTCTGTGGGGTTGTGTACTCTCCCCATGGCTCTTCTCCTTGTATACAAATAACTGCACCTCCATGGACCCTTCTGTCAAAATCATGACGTTTGCAGATGACAATACCATTATCAGCATCATCCATTATGGCAATGAGTCTGATTACAGATGAGTGGCAGATCATGTTTTTTTTTTGCAGTAGCAGCCACAACAAACTTGACCTGATTGCAGCTAAAAGAGTGGAGATTATAGGGGAATTTAGGAGAAGACCCCCAGCCCTGCCAGCACTCACTATTTTTGACAGAAAAGTGATGACTGAAGTCCTATAAGTTTCTAGGCACAACAATCACCAGCGACCTGAAGCAGGACAACAATATCAGCTTCACAGTCAAAAGAACTCAGCGGAGGATGTACTTCCTGAATCAGCTGAGGAAGTTCAACTAGCCCAAGGAGCTGAAGGTGCAGTTTTACACAGCTATCACTGAATCTGTCATCACCACGTCCATCACAATGTGGGGTGGTTCAGCCACCAAACTAGATATCCACAGACTGCAAAGTATCATTGGGTCTGTGCACAGCTCCAGAACCAGGAGGTGTGCAGAGAAAATCATCTCTGATCCTTCACACCCTGGACGTCATCTGATCCAGTGCCTTACCCCAGGTCAGCGCTTTAGCCAATTGAAGATCAGGACAACCAGGCTAGAGATGTTTTTTCCCCACTTGCCATCACTCACCTGAACAGTTGAACTAAATACTAAATCCTCTGTATTTAAACTCTGAATAGTGAGTCTGCAAAGTCTTTTGCCATTACTGGAAAACCGCCATACCCAGTATCTTTTTATATTAAGCACACACAATGTTAAGTTTTCTGTCAGGAGTTCAGGTATCTGGATTCAGAATTCATCCAGACAACAAGAGCGTAAAAACAAGAAAACACTTATTGATTTTGCAGTTGCAGGTGGGAGTCAGGAACCAGCTGCGGTAACACATCTTCACAGGCAGGTGGGGTGAGAGCCACCTGTTGGAGCTTGAAGTGATTTTGTCATGGTAACTGGTGAGAAGGCAGCTGCAGAGAGAGGCCTTTAATGTTAACAGTGGGGCAATCCAGGGTCGTGGTCCAAAAGGTCAAACCGTAATCCAAAATCCGTAGACAGAAACAAGTAGTCGTTACCAGGTTCAGATGGGCCAAACAGAACCAGACAGGGAGCAGACAAAATGGTAAATCCACAGGACAAGGCATGAGGTCAAAATCTGAAGAACAAAGCATGAAAGTCAGGTGTGAACATGAAACAAGAAGGCTGGATATAACATCATGATGGGTTCTATAATCTGGCAGGTTGGGGAGGTAAAAGGAGTTCTTAAATAAGGCCAGGAACAGGTGCAGTGAATAAAGGCTGATGAGCTGAAAGTGCAGAATGGGCATGGCAGAGTGACTGAGCAGAAAACATGACATGAAGAGGCAGAGGACAGAAGATGTGATCATGACATTTTCCAAGTTTTGATTGTGTGTGTGTACACCGTGAGCTACTGTAACCAAAACTAAATTCCTTGTATGTAGGAGCATACACGTCCAATAAAGCTTGATTCTGATTCTAATTTCTTGTGTTTTTAGTTAACGATGTTAAGCATATACCTCAAGGTCCTTGGGTCGTGGAGGAGGTTTGGCGATTATTTATAAATCAAGTTTTGACTGTAAGCAGCTGTCCCTCCCGACTACGTTTTCTACCTTTGAACTGAACATGTTTGAGTTGGGCTGCGCTCCTCCGCTTCTGTGCACCGTCATCTACCGGCCTCCTAAATATAATAAGGACTTCATACAGGACTTTTCTGATTTCTTGGGTGATTTTATGTCCAAATATGAGCAAATTTTAATTCTTGGCGAGTTTAATATTCACGTGTGTTGCACTGGAAAGCCGCTGGTGAAGGATTTCTTAGATGTAGTGGATGCTATTGGCCTCACTCAGTCTGTGAAGGGCCCAACCCATGAACGTACACACACCCTGGACCTTGTTTTATCTTATGGTTTATCTATTTTTAACTTGGAAATTGGTGATGCATTGTTTTCAGACCACATGCCTGTTTTATTTGATTTTATTCCTGTTTCTAAACCTGTTAAGTCCTGTGCTCCTGCTCGATGCTGCCGTGTTTTTAACTCATCCTCTGCTGCCCATTTCTCCACTGTCTTTAATCGTTTAGAGTCACAGCTCTCTGTGTCTCTCAGCACTGACGAGCTTTCCTTATATTTTGATTCTTTATGCAATACTGTATTGAATGATGTGGCCCCGATTAAAATCAGGCAATCAAAGCCAAGATCAGACCCATGGTTGAGTGACCATACTCGTGCCATTAGACAGGAATGCAGGAGAAATGAACGCAAGTGGAGAAAGGACAAACTCCAAGTCTCTTTTGATATACTGAGAGAGAGTTGGCGTTGCTATCAACGAGCTGTGAAAACAGCCAGAGTAAAATATTTCTCTGACATTATTGCTGCTAACTCTCACAACCACCGTGTTCTTCATAATACAATCAACACTGTCCTCAGTGCACATGAACCCTCTTGAAGCATCCAGAGAACTTTGTGATAAGTTTCTTAATTTTTTCTTGGACAAGGTTATTAACACTAGGGCTTGTATCTCTTTTCCATCCCTTGACCCTTCCATCCCGGTCCCCTGTCCTGCTATTTTTGATCATTTGGAGCCTATTTCCCTCTCCTATCTAGAGAAACTTGTCACCAGTATGAAATCATGGGGTTCTCCCCTTGATGTTGATCCTCCATATTTTCTTAAGGAGGTATTTTCTACTGTTGGCTCCTTTATCTTAAATATGATCAACAGCAGTTTGATGTCTAGTGTAGTACCAAGCAATTTTAGACATGCTGTGGTGCAGCCATTGTTAAAAAAAAAAACTGGCCTTGATCCATCCTCTGTGTCAAACTTTAGGCCAATCTCCAAGTTACCCTTTATATCCAAAATTTTGGATTATTTGTCTGAACTGCTTCACTTTTACATACCATCATGTGCTCTTAGATCCTCTGACCAGATGCTTTTAGCAGTCCCGCAAACCTTTTATAAATCCAGAGGAGACAGAGCCTTTTCAGCTCTGGCTCCTAAATTGTGGAATGAGCTGCCACTGGAGGTCAGGCAGGCCCCATCACTTTCTGTTTTTAAAACTCGTTTAAACACACATTTTTTTCATTGGCTTTTAACCTAGAGTGAGTCAACATCTGTGTCTTAATGTTGTATTCTTTTACTTATGTTCTGATTATTTTTTAATATATATTTAGATGTTTTTGTTGTTTTACTATTTTTTATTTGTTTTTAATTTTGTACAGCACTTCGGACGGCTGCTATGTTGTATTTTAAGTGCTTTAGAAATAAATTGGTATGGTATTTATATCTGTCATATTTTATCTATCATTTATATACAAGCTGAAATGCTTGAAATATAAATTCAGACTTTTGATCATTTTATTATTATCATACATTTCTGCCCCAAAAAGTTATCTGTTTTAGAATAGTACCAATGCTGGACAATTAAAAATAATGAGAAACAAGGTGTGTTGTTGCATTTTATTGAAACAGGACTAAAATATTTTGTTTAAATCATTGGAACAAGAAGTTGCTGTTACCTGGAGCTCAGCGTTGAGACGAGGCATGGAAACAGCTTTGCCCTGGCTCTCCAAACCGGAACCTGGAACAGGTGTAGTACTGTTCCCACTGGACTCCATATTCTTCATCTTTACAGACACCTTGACACACACAGATAACAAGCTCAGTGTCAGGTTGAGAACATTGCCTCTGTTAGCAACACTATTTTCCATAGATGTTTGAAAGGTTTATAACCATATTAACACCTACAGTTTTAGACGTTGTTTTAAAAGAAACACATTATGATACTGTATATGGCTACATTTGTGAGACTGAGTAAAAAAATCATGCTGTCATCATACACAAAATTGTGTAGCAATGTCTGAACCTCTGTGTGTCCACTTGGGAAGTAATAAAAGTGTTCAAATTCATTAAAGGATAAAAACGATTTCACTTGATAAAAGTATTTTACAAAAGCCAATTTTAAACCCATCCATCCATCCATTATCTTTTACCCGCTTCTTCCATTTTGGGTCACGGGGGTCGCCAGTGCCCATGTCCAGCAATCACTGTGCGAGGGGTGGGGTACACCCTGGACAGGTCGCAAGTCCATCACAGGGACATGTAGAGACAAACGAGACAAACAACCATTCACTCACACCTAGGGACAATTTAGAGTTACCAATCAGCCTAACATGCATGTTTTTGGTTTGTGGGAGGAAACCAGAGTACGCATGCACAGAGAGAACATGCAAACTCCACCCAGGAAGGCCCCCGGACCAGGATTTGAACCGGCAACCTTCTCGCTGAGAGGCAGCAGCTCTACCAGTTGCGCCACCGTGCTGCCCTAAATTAATCATTAAAAATTTAAAATCAAATAAAATTTTAGTCAACTCTCAAACCCAGTTTTTTACTTGAGATTTTACAAAAATGAGATTTTCATTGGCTGTCCAAATCTGAAAGAGAAGATCTGTGGTTTGCACTGGGACCAAAAACATGACTTGAATTTGATTCTCATTGAAAATTATGAAGTTTGAAGTCTTCCAAGCTTTTACCTCAGTAAAGCAGTGGTTTTAATGAAAAAGATTGATTGAGCTTCAACTGATAGTAAATTGGAGTGTCATCAGCGTTTGAATGAAATAAGATGTTAAAGTTTCTGCAAGTGGAGCTAAATGGTGACAGGATGTCAGTCCCAGCAGTCCTTCCCTCAATTTTATATTTGTATTGTGTTCCTATTGAGTTTGTTGATTCCTACAAATGAGTATCTTGGTCAATTCACATCTCTCTTTTAGGCTCCACATGGAAAACTTGGTAAAGAAACTGAAAGTTAAACTGTGTTTCTTTTTCAGAAATATATTCTTTCTAACTCTGAATGCTAGAAAACGCCTTGTGACTGCGACTTTCTTCCCCTCCATTGACTACGGTGACATCATTTACATGAACGCTCAAGCTACAAGCACCCTGCAGATGTTGGATGCAGTCTATCATGGTGCACTAAGAATCATAACCGGCTGTAACTACTGTATCCACCACTGCACCCTGTATTCACTGGTTACCTGGTCATCATTAACTTGACGCAGACTCTCTCATTGGTACATTTTCATCTTTAAATCACTTCTTGGTCTGTTGCCTTCATACATCTCGTACATGCCACTACGTGAGTGCAGCTGCAGTGTTCGTTCTCAGGACATTATTTCATGCAGTGTCCCCTCAGTGAGGACTGAACTAGACAAAAGGGCTTTCTCCTACTCCGCTCCTGTTTCCTGGAAGAGCCTGTATTAGTACGCAGGAGCTGCTCAGTAGGCATGATGAGACCTGCTCTAAGATCTTAGACCTCGTGGCCCTGATAAAAATCAGGCGACCAAAGCGGGCACCACACCCCTGGTTGAACGCAACCACTCGAGCGGCCAAACGTCTATGCAGGAGAGCTGAACGCAAGTGGAAAAAGGACAAATTACAGGTTTCTTTTATTATGTTAAAAACATGTTTGAAAGACTATCAGAGCATCGTTAAATCTGAAAAGAACAAATACTTCTCCCAAATCATTGCTTCAAACAGTCATAAAGAACCGTGTTCTTTATAATACCGTAAATTCCATTTTAAACGTGCCTCGGTCTGCCAGCATGGAGACCTCCGTTGACATCTGCAACAACTTCACCAGATACTTTGCTGATAAGGTAGAGTTGATTAGGTCATCCATCCCCCAGTCCACAACTGATCCTTCTGTCTTTGTCCCTTGCTCAGCTGTCTTCAAACAGTTTCAACCCATTTCACTCCCATTTCTAAACAAAGTCGTTGATCAGATGAAACCCTCCGGTTCCCCTGCTGACCCCATTCCTGCATCGTTTTTCAAACAAGTTCTACCCACGATTGGACCCTCTGTTCTTACCATTATAAATAGTAGTATTGTGACAAGTGTGGTTCCCGATGTTTTCAAACATGCAGTAGTTCATCCGTTAATTAAGAAACCTGGACTTGACCCTTCGACTTGCTCAAATTTGAGACCAATCTCAAAACTTCCCTTCCTATCCAAAATCCTGGAGAAAATGGTTTTCATTCAATTAAACAAATTTTTGAATGAGAACAGAGTCTTCAAAAATTTTCAATCTGGTTTTAAGCAACTCCACAGCACTGAAACAGCATTAGTAAGGGTTTGTAACGACATTATGATCTCAAACGATTCTGGTCAATTTGTGGTACTTGTGCTCCTGGACCTTACTGCTGCTTTTGATACTGTTGACCACAGTATCCTTATATCATGGCTGGAACAGTGGGTTGGGATCACAGGTGCTGCATTAGAATGGTTCCGCTCATACCTGAGTGGCAGGAGTTTCTGTGTCAAGGTTGGTAACAATGTATCCGCCTCATTACCTCTTTCATGTGGGGTCCCACAGGGTTCGATTCTTGGACCCCTTCTGTTCTCACTTTATTTACTCCCACTGGGGTCCATCCTGAGGAAACATGGTCTTTCATTCCATTGCTATGCTGATGACTGCCAGATCTACCTGCCTGTGAAACCAGCAAGTGTTTGCTCCATTCACCCGCTGTTAAAATGTCTGGATGACTTTAGGGCCTGGATGGCTTCAAATTTCTTAAGTTTTAACAATGACAAGACCGAAGTCATTGTTTTTAGCCCTAGCTCAACTGCCACCACTGATCCTGTCAACCTGGACTCTCTTCAGCCATATCTGAAGCAGTCGGGTAAAAATCTCGGGATGGTTTTAGTCTCTGATTTTAAGTTTGACAAACAAATCAACTCTGTTCTGCAGAAAAACTTCTTCCAACTCAGACAGAGAGCTAAACTCAAGCCAGTGTTGTCCAGACCTGACCATGAGAAACTAGTCCATGCCTTTGTCTCGACCCGATTGGACTATTGCAACGCACTGTATGCTGGGGTCAGCCAGGCCTCCATCTCACGTCTTGCTTGTCCAGAATGCTGCTGCTCGGCTTTTAACCGGAACTCGTAGGTCTGAACATATTACTCCAGTTCTGTCCTCCCTTCACTGGCT